GGCATCATTCCAGTGCCCAAAGTCAATTGCTAAACTGCTTTCTCTAGCCTAGCTACTGAAAAGTTTTAGAAAAGCATGTTTAAAAAAATATGTAATAGATAATAATTAAAATAAAGGAAGCCAATATTATCAGGGAATCTTCCAGAGTTCATATGATCAAGGGGAAATGGGGGAGGGGGGACTGTCATATAACATGGAACACTAAATGTCCAGAAACCACACAGCATGAAAAAATGCTGTCTTAGAGACAGGAACAGTGATGTAAAGGCGATTAAAAGGAATTTGCATATTGAGATTCTTTGCTTCTGTGAAGTCTGTGCAATTTAAAGGGATCCAGGTGTGCACCTTTCTTAAGCATAGGTCCAGAGCAGGAGACCTGACTTCCTGGGCCAGGTTAGCACTACACCTTTGAGTGTACTCACTGGCCAAAATACTCTGGCTCTGTTTTGGAGTGCCTTCCTGTCCTCCCTCCATTCCTTGCTTCCCATCTCATGTGATCAACAGGAAGCTAAGATGCACAAATTTTATGGAATATGTACCAAGGTTTGTCCAACTATGCTCTTTTCAAGAGTTTGCATATTTCACTCCCAGGATAAAAGAATCCTGTTGTGGTTCTGATGTTCTCCTCACTACCTCTGTAGAAATGTGGCACATAAGAAATAGGCACTTGAATTTTGTCTTGAGTGAATGATCACTAACAAATAAATATGCCAAATGGTGGGTGCAGAGAGCTATTTCAGTAAAGTTATAGGGACAAAAACCTGATTATAATGTGTTAAGAAAGATTGAGAAGAATGAGAATGAAGAGGGCAAAGGAGGGAACACTAGTGAGGCATTTTGATATGAAAGTAATGTATGAGTAATGGGACAGGAATTCAAGAGGAAAGTCAGATGCATCGAACTTTTATTAAAATAAGTTGTCTTTTTTGAATTGGCTATATGGTGGCATGTTAATGTATTTTGATGAGACTGATCCAATAAAGAGGAAAAGATCAATGGTTGGTGGGGGGAGACTGGAACAATGTTATTTTGTAGATGAGAAGTGTGAGAAGTGCTATACGTGGAGGACATGAACCCAAGCCCCTCCTTCCTCCATGGGGTTCAGGGAAATAAGCAGTATAGGGAAAAAGACTCAAGCTGGTAAAATTCATAATGTAAAAGACAGCTCATCTCTGATGAATTTTTCCATTTGAAAAAAGGAATCACGTTCATAAACATACAAAAAAGAAGGAAAAGAAAATTTTCAGGCTTAAAGAAGGGGAAAAAATGATATGAAACAGCCTAGGAGGGTGGAAGATGGACTAGACTGCAGAAATATACCAAAATGACCAGGAAGCACTAACAAAATGTTCACGAAAATTCTTTGAAACTTGTTTCTGGTATTCTCTACCTGCTATTAGCTTTAGAACTTGCAACTAAGATTACAACAAAAAATATTTTAGTCTGTAACAAAAGTCATGCCATTTTCAACTTGTCATGATTGTGAGTCATATATTTGTGGGGGGGAAATGCCACTGTTGCCTTTATTAAAAATATTTGACATTTTATAAGAGAGTTGCTTTATACAATAACAACCTGCTCTTCTGTGTTCTGTGATTGCAGAGCCTGTGATCAATTGCAATTCCATATTAAATAGAAAAATTCAGAGATAAAGAATTCATAGGTTTTAAATTGTGTATCATGCTGAGTAGCATAATGAAATCTCACACCATTCTGCTTCATTCTACCTGGGACATAAATTATGTCTTTGACAAATGTATTCACTCAGTATATACTACCCACCCTTTAGTCACTTAGAAACTATCTCACTTATTAAAATGAATAACAGTATCACAATGCTTGTGCTCAAGTAACCCCTATGTAACTTAATCATGGCCATAAAACACAAGAATATTAATGTCAACAAATCACTTAAGCCAAAGAGAAATCATAAAGGACTTCTTTAAGTGAAAAAGTGAAAGTTTTTGACTTATTAAAGAAAGAAAAAATATATATATATTCTAAGGTTTCCAAGATCTATGTAAAAATTAATCATTCATCTTTGAAATTGTGAAGATGGGAAAAGAAATCTGTGCTACAATAGCTAAACTGTGGAGCTAATCTAGATGTTCTTCAGTGGATGAATGGATAAAAAATGTGGCATATATACACAATGGAATTTTACTCAGCAATAAAAAAGAACAAAATCATGGCATTTGCAGGTAAATGGTTGGCATTGAAAAAGATAATGCTAAGTGAAGTTAGCTAATCGAATAAAAACAAATGCCAAATGTTTTCTCTGATATAAGGAGGTTGACTCATAGTGGGGTAGGGAGGGAGAGCATGGGAGGAATAGATGAATCCTAGATAGGGAAGAGGGGTAGGAGGAAGAGGGAGGGGAAGGGCATTAGCAAGGATGGTAGAATGTGATGGACATCATTATACAAAGTACATGTATGAAGACTTGAATTGGGTGTCAACATACTTTATATACAAACAGAAATACAAAAATTGTGGTATATGTGTATTAAGAATTGTAATGCAAAAAAACCAACAACAAAGTACATGTATAAAGGCATAAATTGGCATGAACATACTTTATATACAAAGATATGAAAAATTGTGCCCTATATGTGTAATAAGAATTGTAATGCTCTCCACTGCTGTCGTGTAGTTAAAAAGAAAGAAAGAAAGAAAGAAAGAAAGAAAGAAAGAAAGAAAGAAAGAAAGAAATCTGTGCTAGATTTGTTGCTGCACTCAAACTACAAAAGTTACAATCTCAGTGCCTGATAAGTGCTTAGAAAAAAATGGAAAAAGCATTAAATTTGTATTTGTGTGTTGTTTGAAAGCACATATATATATATATACACACACACGTATATAATGTTTATGTGTGTGTGTGTGTGTGTGTGTGTGTATAATGTATAGGTACTATCTGTGGTTTCAGGTATTCACTGGAGGTCTAAGAATGTATCCCCTGTGGATAAGGGGCAGGGGGCAAGGGGAACAATTGAATAGTTTAATTACTGCTACGGTTTCTAGAGAATGGGTGTCTTTAGAACCAGGGTTCAACCTGACTTGAGTTAAATAAGTCTACGAAAGGATATGCACACTTAAATTCATTTATATCACCTTTTCAGTAATGAGCTATTACAACTTGCCACTGATTTACAATTTTAGACACCAATGTGGTTAAGGACGTGCAATTCCAAAATGTACACTGGCATCTAAAGAAAAGGCAAAAGCAGGAAGATGTCCTTCACTTTCCCTTCACCCTTCACCCCTGAAGCCGGTCCTAGAAGAATTATCTGACCTTTTTTGAAAGCAGGTCATAAAATCTTCACTACAGAAAGTCACAAGACCTTTTGTCTAAAAGAAAAAACATCCTTATCCTCAAAAATAGATATGCTAAGAAGACTCTGAGCAAATTGGCCATGCTAAGTTCCCTCCCATTTATTACCAGTGGATTGCATTAGAAATGAAGATTCAAAGAAACAGGAAACCTGTATACCATTATGAATAATTGTGCAAAATTGTGATTGGAGGACAAAGGGTATGTGCTAATGGTAATAAATGGGTCATATAAACATATAAAACAATAAATCTATTCATAACAAATAATATATACAATTAATGTATATATAAAAAATAAACTATATATTTTTCTCTTATTAACCTGTTTTTTTTTCCTTATAAGAGCCTCAGTTATGAAATTTGCTCTCCTACATAACACTCAGAAGAATATTTTTTGACTTTAGGAACTTTCTTATGAATAGAATAAATAAGTTTTAAAAATTCATAACAAAAATTCTGGAAACAGTAGATGTTTGCATATATTGAACTTCCAAGAGTAACTCTATTGAATTTCCTGAAGGCATTTTATTCCAGGTGTTACTGGTATGCTCCTCTGTCCACCTAAGAAAACTGAAGGAGGAAAAAAAATCAATGAATAAGGCTAAAAGATCTTTATGTAGGTTAAAAAAAAAAAAAGACTGTCCAGCGAATTATTTGTTTATTTATTTATTTTGGTACTGAGGATTTAAATCAGAGGCACTTTTCCACTTAGCTATATCCCCAGTCCCTTTTTATTTTATTTTATTTTTTAGACAGATTTCACTAAGTTGCTGAGGGTCTCACTGTATTGCTGAGGCTGACAATCTGCTCTGCACAATTTTTTGAAATTTCGAGGTGCTACAAAAACATAGATAGGGTAAACTAACATTAGATATGAGGAATGTGAAAAATAAAAATAAATTATTTAGCCCCTACCTCCTGATTTATGTTACCAGTTTTGTTTTGTTTTTTCCTTGGGTTGAAAGGTGTGCTAGTGGTTCCTGGCTACAATAACTGCAATTCTCCTCAAGATTCTATTTAGTTAGTTCCTAATTCATGATGTAATTTTTATTTGTACTAATATGTGTATGTACATAAGTTTATAATGAATTTTATATGTTTGAGGTCATTATAATCTTTGGATAAGTATAACATATGCCTTACAGAGTGTCAGTACCTCATTTGAAGAAACTGAACCATTAAATTTGACTAGGCAGTGGGTGGCAGAGCAAAACACGAATAACACCTGGGTTTTGCAATCTTGATCCCAGAAAAAACTAATTTATGGGAGTTATCTTCTCTAATACTTTACCTATTATTTGTGTTTTCTTTCAAAAGCATCAAAGTATTTTAGAAAAGATGCTTAGTCTTTAGTACATACTGAGATTGTTCTGTGATTGCCTCTGAGAATTCTGGCTTCAGTTCAACTTGACATATGTCAATCAGGCAAATAATAGGCTGCCATGAGTGTAACTTGAAATGAATCAGAGTTTACCTTATTGCACCTTTTCAAGGAGAAACAGCATTTCATGTTTTTGTCATTGTGCTCCAGTAGTTACTAAATTTCCTCATTAGGTAAAAATGGCAGTGGCTAATGAGGGATTTTCCACTGATTTTTCTCACATGCAAGCAGGAGCCAAGGACATTTTTTCCCTTGAGGAGAAGAGTGGAAATTACAGGGCAGCAGGAAGATTGTCAGCAAAGAAAATGCTAAAAGGGAAGTTCAAAGGAGTTTCATATTTCATATTGCAAAGAAAAGAGTCATAAAGCTAAATGAAATATCAGATGAAATAAAGTCCTGGTTACACATGAAGCAAAGGCAAAAAAGCACAGGATGGAGGGGAATCTGCACATACTAAATATTTGAGTGAAGAGGCAAAGTAGAAGAAGAAATTCCCCATGGGGATATTTTATTTGATCAAGCTGATAACTTGTTATGCTGGGAAAATATGAAGGTAAGCATTTATAATCCAGTCCAGTCAAATAACTTTGATATGTATAAAGGGATATGATTATAATATACATGGATTTGAGACTTTTGACTTGACTTATGATTATTGATAATAAGTTATCTGGTTCCAAAGTAAACATGCTTGGCATTATAAGATTAAAAATATTTACTTCATGGAATGCAGGCTGATGTTTGAGGATCATTTTGTCAGAACTCTCATTTTGACAAAGAAGAATAAGGAAGGAGACAAAACATTAATTATTAGCTCTGCTTTGGGCTGAATTGCATATCTCTGAGAGTTCATCTTAAATCTCAGTACCTCAGAATTTGCCTGCATTTGGAAGAAGGACTTTTAAGAGGAATGTAATTCGAATGGAGTCCTTAGAGTGGAACAATACGAAATGATTTGTGTTCTTCTAAGAAAAGAAGCTCAATGGATTAGATAAAGGGGAATGAAAGCAAGGGAGATAGGATAGGAACAGGAAAGACAGTGGAATGAATCTAACGTAACTTTCCAATGTATGTATATAAACGTACCACAGTGAATCTCACCATTGTGTACATCCACAAAACTGGGATCCTAAATAGAATAAGATGTATTCCACTATATAAAAATTTACATTTTTATATAAAAATTATATAATTTTTATATAATTATATCAAAATGAATTCCACCATCATGTATAACTAAAAAGAACCAATTTAAGAAAAATAAAGGAGATTAGCACACAAACAACACAGACTGGGGGAGGACACAGGGAGAAGGTGGCCAGAGGCAAGCCAATGAGGGAGGGAAAAAAATTAATCCCTTTATCTTGGACTTGTCTTGAGAATTGTGAGAAAATACATTTCTACTATTTAAGCCACATCACCTGTAGTATTTTATTATGGCAGCCATAGAAAATTTATGAATTCTCCCAATACATGTTTAAATTTATCCTTACATTATTAAACAAGGCTTTATAGAACAGGGGAGTCTGAGGAAATACACAGAAAAACACCTATCACTATTTAAAGCAATTAAATTATCTTGGGTGGGGAGGAAAAAAAGGAACTAACACAGGCTCCATGGAAAAAGTGACACTTAGACCTTGGGGATATTATGTGTGTCCTACATCAAGACAAAACTACAAACCGTTGCCATTCCAGCACCCTACATTAATGTGTACCTGGCCTATTACATAAATACACTTACTGACATATATTAAATATAGCACATGCACACACACACACACACACATCTGGTCTATCAGAATGCCAACTTGCCTAGACACAAACCTTCTTGTTCTCAGAGAAAGATTCAGATCACAAAGACTCATCCCAACTAGCAAATATTGGTTAGAAACTGCTAGGAAATAAATAAGTCTCAAAGAATAACTAAGGTCCCTAAAAGAACTACTGATTTTGGTCAAATGTTTTCAATCAGAAAATGATAAGCTACTCTTATCATCTTAAATGATAAGAGCTGCTCTGGAAATGCATGCCCTTTAGTCCTGAGCAAGAGATACTGAACAATTATTGCGCCCCACAATAACTTGGGCTTTACCTCCCCTTAGATAATGAGGCATAGCTCCAGGAGTGGGCATTATCAGTGGGGTTGAGTTACACTCACTTGTTCCTTTGTAATCCTACCCCTTTGCCCTTTTGAGGATAGAATGTTCCATGGAACCTCCCCTTGTGTGCCCTCTATGTAGGAATAAAGAATTCCAGTGGCTCTTTCTCTTTCCTCAGACCCTTTAAGAGTCTGAGGAGAGCCATCACAGATTTTGAAAAGGCACTTCTATGTGTTTGTGTGCTTTCTCTGCCATTTTCTGAACTCATTGAAATTGTCAGATTTCCTGAAACCAGCATTAAGCTACACCATGCCACTATAATCACTGAAATAATTACATTTTAAACTTGTTTTATGCCCAGGTTTGGTGTAGCTAATTTTATTTATCATTACTTGAGCTTTCTGGTAGACAACACATCTGCTATAGCTAGGGTTCTCTCTGAGACAAGCAGCAGAAGACTTGCCCCAAATGGCTTAGGCAAAAGGAAGGAATCCAGAGGAATCCCAAGTTCTATCTGAAATGAAGCTGCAGGGGTGGTCCATCTGCTTTCTCTGCTCTCACTGGGCTGATGTTATAGTAAATTTAGAGACTGAATGTTTAATGGCTATTTTTTTTACAATTTATTGAAGTTCAATTTCTGTATAATAAAGTACACATATTAAAGGATACCACTTATCTGTCTTGGATGTCTGTCCATATGTATACATTTAAAAGCAGCATCACAATTAGAATAGCAAATATGTTCATCACCCTCAAAGTGCCCTTATGTCATTTTGTATTCCCTTACCCCCTTGACATAGTCCCTTTTGTCTCTATAGGAATTTCTCAATCTGCTTTTTCAATTTCTAGAATTTTATATGAATGGAATAACCGAGTGTTTCCTTTTCGTGGCCTGGCTTTTTCAACCAACAGAATGATCTTGATATTCATCCATATTTTGGATACATCCATAGTTCTTTTCCTTTTTATTGCTGAGCTGTAGTCCATTCTATGGTTTATGGATATATTTATGCCTAGTTTGGGGGAATTAAAAATAAAGTTATTCCAAAAGTTATTTCACCATGGCCACTATATTTTGGTTTTTGCAATAACACCACAGTGTGGTGTTTCAAAGTCTGGCTTCTGTTTTTTTTTTTTTAAATACATTGAGCAAGTTTCTTACATGTTCTTCAAATGTACTTGTCTATATGTGTTGCTTTTGTTTTATCTTTTCCAACACCAGAGAAATAATTAATTAACAATTAATAGTGAGTTTCTTTGGTGGAATGAATAGCATTCAAGAAATGTAGACTGTATATGAATATCACTATAGGCACTCCTGTCCTTGCATGAATGGATAAACTATTGTAGCACAACTAATAGTCTAAACTCAAAAGAACTATGTCCCGGATTCACAAGATTTCTGAAGGTCATGTCTTAACACACTTACGGGAGGAATTTCTCACTTGACCCCAAGTAACAGGCTATTTGATTTCTGTTTCTCTCCTTATAATATTGTTGCTTTTATATTGAATTAGCCTCTTGTGACATATGCTGTCAGAATGCTTAAAAGGATGAGAAGTGAGATTTAATCAAGTATACAGGACAATACTTACGACTATTTTCATACCTACTTGCTGTTAACTAGGAGGCCAAACTCACTTCAGGACTTCATTTTAGTTCATTACAATTGATGCCACATGTAGCAAAGTTGATTCTCAATGATAATTAACATTATTTTTTAAAAATAATAATAATTATAAAGGATCAAGCTGACTTCTTTCCTTTTCTTTCCCTCCCTTCCGCCTTCCTTCCCTCCTTCTTTCCTTCTTTTTTCTTTCTCTCTCTCTCTCTCCCCCCCATCCCTCCCTCCTCCCTTCTTTCATTTGTATCTGTTCCAATGATTGAACTCAGGGGCACTCAACCACTGAGCCACATTCCCAGCCCTATTTTGTATTTTACTTAGAGACAGCATCTCACTGAATTGCTTAGCGCCTTACCATTGCTGAGGCTAGCTTTAAACTGCAGATCCTCCTGCCTCAGCCTCCCTAGCTACTGGAATTATAGTCAAGCTTATTTTCTTTAGTTTAGAACCACAAGCTGCCTTGTCTATAACATGGAAGTAATAATGGTGTTAACAGGTTCTTTTTGAATATTAAATAAATAACATAGGTAATAATAATTAGAACAGCATAATAATAAATAATATAGTATCTGTATTAGTTTTTCATTGTTATGATCAAATACCAGAAAAAAATCAAATTAAATGAGGAAATGTTTATTTTGGGTCATGGTTTCAGTCAATTTTCTCTTGGCCATATTACTTTTGGGATTGTTTCGAGGCATAACATTAGGGCAGAGTGTGTCATGAAGGAAAACTGGTTACCTTATGGCAACCAGGAAGCAAAGATAGAGGAAGTTTATGGAAATTCCAATATACCCTTCAAAGGCACCTCCCCCCACAATTATGGGACTTTCTTCTACTAGGCCCACCTGCTAGATCTTCCACCACCTCCTAATAATGACAGACCTGACAATCCAGCTCTTACCACACGAGACTTTGTGGGTCACGACAGCATCTATATATCTTTTAAGGCTCTTCCAGCCCTAAGGTTTTATAATTCTGCCAAAAAGTTGATCCAGATGAAAGCATTTAGCTAAAAGGAAAATTATCTGTCTAGGATACCTAATTTTAGAAGATGCAAATGAAGGAAATATTGTGGATTGTATCATTGGAAGAGGTTTGTCTATATACTGACTCCTGTACCTGTGAATATGTGAACATGTTGTTATTTGGCAACAGGCTTTTACAGATGTGATCAATATAACATGAACTCATATTAGAGAAGGGTGACCTCTAGTCTTGTGACCTTTGTCCTTAGAAGAAGAGGGAAATCTGGAAACAAAGACACACAGAGATGCAGGAAAGAATGTCATGTAAAATCAGAGACAAAGACTGGAATTAAGGTGCTATAAACCAAGGAATGCCAAGGATTATTGGCAACCACCAAAGGCTGGGAGAGGCAAAGAAATATTCTTCCTTTGAAGCCTTCAGAGGAAGCCTGAGGACATTGTGAGACATCCAGCTTCCAGAATTATGAAATAAGAAATTTCTGTTGATCAAAGCCATTTGTTCCTGGTTCTTTGTTATGATGGTCTATGAAAACAGAATAGTAACTATTGTACAAATTAAAACAATGTTTAACAATGGAAAACTGTTGGCTTTCTTCATAAGTAAAAAAGAATGAAGGATCAGAATCAATTCATTCCAAGCATTCCAAGAGGCTTGGATAATCACTGTTCTATCCATATTCCATTTTATACAGTCATACTATGAAATAGTATCCATTAGCTTCAAATTTTCAATTAAAATAAATAAAAAATATTTAATCTTAGAAGTCTAAAATCCTCAACTGAATTATTCCAAAAAGATACAGAATTTATATTGAGCTGACTTAATTTTGGAATAATA